GGCAAGGCAGAAAAGCTGATGTAAATTTAAATGCCATCAGGATATTTAGCAAATCATTGTCATCTGATAAAAATGCATCGTCCTGTCTGCAAAAAGCTTGAGAAGTCTAAATGTGTTTACAGATTTGTATTTTGTTTTTTAATTGTTCAATATGGTTGCAGAAATGTTGTTATTATCACATAAATTTCTAAGAAGCTTACCAAAGGTTGCAGCTAGCCTTTTTCTGCCCCTGTGCAGGCTGTTAATTCAGACCCAGCAGATGTTATCAGGAACAAAAACCACAAAATACTGGGGATGCACAAGATAAGGGAATTACCTGAAGGGGCAAAATATTGCAAGTAAATACTGTAGATACTACTGATGAAATTCTGTAACTCAAGATTTCTGCTCTACCACCTTACACACTTGAGCAATTATACTTAAGAAGCCTTTTTTTAGTTGTAAGTGAAGAAATCAGGATCAATATTTTGCGTGGGAAACGTGGCTGGTGTGAACGAAGAAGACATTTACATTCTGCATTCTGATGCCCTCCAGAAGGTCTAATTTAAGTGCATCTATGTGCTGACTTTATCAAGATGGGAGATTCCTTCTGGTGTGGCCCATTAGAGCCAGCACATAGTGTTTTGACTTTCCAGAAGAAAAAAAAAATGCTCCATTTGGATGGAGGTGGCATGGGGTGGTGGGAGGAGTATGAATCACAAACTTGTACTGGTCTTTAATTCCTACCACGGCAATTTATACCTAATATGCTTTTAGATTAATGCAGATGTGCTGCTATGTTGCTACTTGACATTTTTTGTTGCTTGGAGGTTATCATTCAAGTGCAAGCGACAGGACTCTTCATCCTCCAGAGGCAACAAAGAGACTGCATCAATGCGGAAAGATCTCAAGAGGCAGGTCTTGGATTGAGACCTAGACTATCCTACTACGGTAATTTATACCTAATATGCTTTTAGATTAATGCAGATGTGCTGCTATGTTGCTACTTGACATTTTTTGTTGCTTGGAGGTTATCATTCAAGTGCAAGCGACAGGACTCTTCATCCTCCAGAGGCAACAAAGAGACTGCATCAATGCGGAAAGATCTCAAGAGGCAGGTCTTGGATTGAGACCTAGACTAAGGCAAGATGTGCTGCCCTCCGCCTCAGTTTCCTCATATAGAAAAGGGGAAGATTGGCCTGGACTGGATGAATTCTTTGGTTCTTTCAACATTTACCATGCTCTGAGTCTGTATTCCAGAGATTTGAAATTAATCCATGTAGCTTCTGGAGAGAGATGTATCATATTTCTGTGACTGGTCCCCAAGCGATTGTCCCTCAAACCTTGACGCTGTTGAATGCAAAGACAAGGATTGCCACCTCTGATTCTTGCCATCCTTGCCATCCTACACTGAGTTGAGATTCAGTAAAGATGGCAAAAACTCTGACCTCAGCCTGAGGAACCAAATACGTGGGATTCTGATGGCCGGACTGCCTGCCATCTTGATAACTCCCATTCTGTTTAGAGCAACAAAGGATTTGTGTTATGTAGTTTTATTGAAAACTATATTAATTGATCAGCAATATTTTTTTTTCTGTAAATTTGGAATGTTTTTCATTCAGACCTGTTCTGCCAGTGATTCTACTGAAAACAATTTGATTAATATAAAAACATTCAAGCTATGCAACACTAGCATTGTGTGTTGACATTTTTGTTCTAATAATTGTCTTGATTTCTGGAAGTGTTTTTCTTATTTTGTTTGCTTTCTTTCAAGTAAATACTAAATCTTTGAGGAGAATGCTCTCCATCCATCTCCACCTTTGATCTAGTCAGGGCATGACCATGCGCAACACCTGTCAGTCTTAACCTTGTGTGGATGGCAAGTTCTGGGTCAGAATTAGGTTCAGCTCTCAAGCCAGCAATAGCTTACAGTACACAAAGTACAAGGTTCTTTACCCTCTATCATGCAGGGTTGTCAGGGTGGCTCCATGATCCCCAGGTCCCAGGTTCCTTCTGACTTGTTGCTCTGCCATTCCCAGTGTGAAGTTTCTACACTGAGGTCCATGGTGGCGGCTGCAGCCACGTTCTCACTACAGCCAGCAGGATGGAAGGAGGTGGGAGGAGAAAAGCAAGACCCCTTCCCTCAGGGTGCGTCATCTGGATGTTGTACCTCCCATTGATCAAAACTTGGTCACAGGGTCATACCTACTGCAAGGGAGTCTGGGAGAGGTCGTTCTTACTCCAAGAAGCCATGTACCTACAAACTGAAACTCAGGAGTTCTGAGAAATAAGGAAAGAATGTGTTTGAGGGGCAAGTAGTGGTCCTGCTGTAGTTCAACCTTTGGGTCACCTTTCTTGCCTCACATAGAGCTCACTCCTTGCCTCAAGGTAAGACAACCCAAACTCCATCCAGGTAGAGCATGAAGCTAAAGATAAAATCACCATTGGGTAATTTGTGGTCTCCTTCAGCTCTGGGTGCTTCTTGTGGTCTAGTGACCTATAAACTCAAGACAAGTTATCTTCTCCCAACATAACCCTTAAACAGTAGCGAAGTAGCAGCAGGCAAACAGCCATTGAAACCTCCTTCATAAGAGGGGAGAACAGGAAACACCACTCCAAGCAACTGTCAAAGGCCACTGCACAGGAAGAGTGAAGACAACTGGCAGGCCCGCCAGTCCCTTGGTGAGCCTCCTGCTGGCCCTTCCGGCTCTGGGAGGAGCTCCTTGTCCATTGACCTCCATGGCCATGTCCGAGGTGGGACCTGCAGCGGGAGGACAGCACAGTTTCCGTAGCTTGCTTACTCTCGGGGCAGTTTTGGAAGGTCCCGGGGTTGTGTTTTCTTTGAAACAGTAGAATTTCATCAAGTACCCAGAGCTGAAGATCTGGTCTAGCCTGGCCTTCGGTGCTTTGCTTATGCCTCTTCCTCCAAGGCCACCTGAAAGGGGACCTACGGTGGGAGAGAAACACCCTTTGTTTGTTTATAGATAGTCTTATTTTTAAATTTTGTATTATGGAATATTTCACATTTATACCAAATTAGAGAGATTCCGATAACGAGCGCTTATGCAACATTAACCGGTTTCAATGGCTAGCATTTTGTCAACCGTGTTTGCTCTAAAGCACCCCTCCTTTCTTTGCCCCATAGTTTTGGGGGTGGTTTTTCTCCCTCTCTGAGACAACGCCCTTAATCTGATCTTTGGATCCACCTGGTCTGCATGCGCTGGCAGCGAAGTCTTGGCGTGGCTCGCTGCCCCAGCCTTACCTCCTGCCGAGGCTGCACTTCAAGGCCACTGCTCTCAGAGCTGCAGTTCAGAGAACAGGCATTTCTACGCTTCAGAACCTTAATTTTGAGTTCAGGCTACAAACAGTGCCTCCCTTATCAAAGCAGGATCCCCTCCCATCTCTGCTGAGTCTGGCTGGCTCTAGCCCCAGTTCCTCTCACTTGTGTAGGACTCTGTGAAAAGCAACAAGGAGCAAGTCATACTTCTTGCATCCTCCCCCCCATTTTCTCTATTGTCATGGCCTCAGCAGCATGTGGTCCACCCTCCAAGTTACCGCAGATGACAATTTCATCTAATGTTGAAAAAAGCAATTATGTAAAAATGCAATTCTGTCCCTACCATCTGCTGGCCTGCCAATTCCACTAAGCCAGTGCTACATTTTAGATGGTATTTGTAGCATCCCACGTTCAGGTATCGAATTCTGAATCTAAAAACCAAAGTAAAGGTGGCTGGAGCAAAATAGAAGTTTATTTTCTCTCAGATAAACCCCAGAATCCAGGGCTGGTAAGGTAACTGCTAGGTCGTCGGCACCCTGTTCCTCCAATCTGGTGGCTTCACTATCCTCCACATACACTTTCCACCTCATAGTCCAAAATGACTGTTCCAGTTCCACCCATCACATCCATATTCCAGCTGGAAAGAGGAAAAAGGAGAGAGAAAGAATGCCCCCTTTCCTTTAAGGATAATCCCTAAAAGTTGCATAGATTTGCACAGTTAGCTAGAACTTAATCATGTCAGAATCCCAGAGCTGGTACACCTAGCTGCAAGGGAGTTTAGGAAATACAGTCTTTATTCTGGATGACACTCTACCTCGCCAACATTTAGGAATTTCATTACTGAAGAAGGGGATATGATTATTAGAGCACAATCAGTAGCCTCCCTGCAGACCTGCTAAAGGGCTGATGTATGAGGAGTTACCCTTCCCAAGACCCAGCACACAGGAATAAATGTAATTATGCCATTTAAGCAAGGCTAAGCCACCATCTTGAAGTCTGACAGCTCCAAACAGGATCAGCACTCATCCATGACAGAGAGTAATAACACAAACTTCACCTCTTCTAGAAACCCCAGGTGCCTACCCTGTCCCATCCCCAAATTATGCAGGTCCATCTTCATCTATGGCCACCCAGTGACCAAAACCCATGTATCCTTTGCTGGTTAGTCCCTAAACCTCTGGATTCCTCTCCAGTCAAAAAAGGTTCCAGGATTTCTCCCGAACCCGGCCCAGGGCTTCCAACATCATTGTTCAAAGCAGAGCCAGGTAAGAAGACCTGTTGGGGTGTGGCGGAGGTCCGGGGAGAGATGGTGACAATGAGGACAAGGCGAGTCGTCTTAGTCTAGACATTTAGAGGACGAAGTGGTGACTTGATAACTGATAGGCATACAGAGGGAGGAGCCAAGGATGGAGCCAGTTTCTAGGTTGGGCAACTGGGTGGGTGTCGGTGCCACAAACTAGGCAAACTACGTGTGGGGAAGATGATGAGGTTGTTCTTTGGGTCTGAAGTCTAACGTTAGGGACACACGTGTAAGCAGTCTGAGCAATCTCACACAGCGACGTCTGAGTGTGAAAATTTTAGCCTTAAAAACAGTGTAGACATTTCTGGGTTCTGAGCTCCCCAGTCGGCTCCAATAAATGTCTTTTGTGCCATTCTTGTTTACATTTTCATCCACTCAAATGATTTCTGTAATCAAATCTGGTCCTCAAAATAGCCTGTCTGGGGTGAATATGCAGTTGTCTTAGTCTGCTCTTGCTGCAGTAACAAAATGCCATAGGCTGGGGGCTTAAACAACGGGCATTTATTCCTCACAGTTCTAGAGGCTGGGAAGTCCACGGTCAGGGGCTGGCAGATTCAGTTCCTGGTGAGAATTCTCTTCCTGGTGCACTCAACCCATCACGGGGACCATACCCTTGTGACCTCACAACCTTATCTAAACCTCAGTGCTTCACAAAGGCTCTACCTCTAATGCCATCACATTGGGGAAATTAGATAAAATATTTCAAAATATACATGAACACAGCAAGAAGAGACACAACAGAAGCACCTGGCGTTGCCCACAAGAAGAGTGCTATCTGGACTCTGTCCAGAGTGTGAGGTCATTCTGACCTAAGCCGTTGGCTCCAGAGAGGAACTTAGCTCTTAGATTTCACTGAGACCAGGTGCAGGGTATTGGTTGTGAGAAACCTACCGGGCAAAGGCAGGAGGTGTGTAAATGAGAATAGGCTCGATGGTAACCAAGGCCAATAAGTCACGTTTCTAAACAAAAGAGATGCTATTTATAAACTAACCACAAAAACTTGAAACAGAAACAACTGATAAATGCCTAGAAAAACACATTCTAAAATAAATATGAACATTATAGTCCTTAGCAGTCCCTTGTTTCTGGTATCAAATCCAGATTGTCCTCAATAACAAAAGCTCTCAGGGATTCTATTTTTGTCTTATGTAGGCATTGTCTAAAAGTACAAAGAGCTGATTCCTCCCCCCCAGACACCCCCACCTCCAACCGCCTGTAAAGTGGCCTCCCCCACAAATTCTTCTTACCATCAAGAACTAAAAAAAAAAAAGATGTTCATAGCAGGATTCTTCATGATGGCCAAAAAGTGGAACCACCCAATGTCCATCAATGATCAATGATGAATGGATAAACAAAATGTGGTCTATCCATATAATGGAATATTATTTAACCATAAAAAGGAATGAAGTACTCATACATGTTACAATATGGGTGAACCTTGAAAAAATGCTAAGTGGACAAAGCCAGACACAAAATGATTCCATTCTTATGAGTTGTCCAAGAGATAGAAAGTAGATCTGAAGTTGCCAAGGGCTGGGAGGAAAGGGAATGTGGAGTGACTGCTAATGAGTGTGGGGTTTCTTTTGGAGGTGATGAAAATGTTCTGAAATTAGTGGTGATGGTTGCACAATGTTATTGAATATACTAAATACCATTGTATTGCACTCTTTGAAATAGTGAATTTTATGGTATGTGAATTTCATCTCAATTTTTAAAATTGCAAATAAACTAAACTAAAAGAGTGTCATCAGTCCCCAGGAGGGAGAGTTTAAGTTGTTCTGAGGAGTACATGGTTGCAGACATCAAAGTCATAACATCTGCAGACCCACCCACCCAATAACTCTACTTCTGGGAATCTGACCTACAGGAGTAATTTAAGGGTTTTGTGTTTTGATATCAAGACAGTGTTTCAGTATGCTTTTACAGCTAGGTATTTTTACAATAGTGAACATTTGGGAACAATCTCAATGCTTGTCAGTCTGAGTCTGGTTCAATGAAGTTTGGTGCATTTGTGTTATAGGTTACTATGCAACTCTGAAAGTTGACGTGGGAGCTGTAGACATCTACACACACAGAGAATCCCTGATGTTTCGGTAAGTGAGAAATTCAGTTACA